GTAAATAAGAGTGGTTGGGCTGGCTTGCTCGGTGACAACTTGGGCACAGGGGTGGGCCGAAATACACACGAAGACACTGCCTGCTCAATGATGCTTTTCGGATGGTTGGATTGAGGGGAAGGGTAGGTTCCAATTGGTGCTCAACTGTATACACAACCATACGCATCAATCATACATCTGCTACATTGTCTTTTTGTATCTTTGATTAGTTGGTTGACGGACTGCTAACCTCACAGACAGATTAGTGTAGGACTGTTGTATGCTACCATAGCCAGTTCTAACTAAGGCTGCTGTAAGTGAACCAATCAGGGTGCATCTAGACTATGTAGACAATCTGTGTGAATGTTGTAGACATGCCACTTGATTCGGTATGGTAGGGAACTCGCCGGACACAACTATTTTTAGAAAATTACGTGCCGGTCAGATACATGCTGCGGTAGGATTCCATTAGGGGATTCTAGTGTAGACACTATCTGCCTAACTAATGAGTGGATCAGACCGTGTTGATGATAGAGCTGACGATAGGAGACTAACACGTGCACGGGCACTAAGGGTACCGCACGTGTTCCACGCCTTGGAGCCGGGAGAAGAAAGACGGATACGTAGAGCAAGTGCTCTAGAATACAGGAAGCAAACATAGCAGCAAGAGAGCAAGCAACAGCAGCCAGAGCAGCTGCGATGGCTAACGGCGCAAGCTCTGCTGCGTCATCGTCTGCGTCCTCGTCCGGGACTAGTGGGACTCAATTGGGAATGCCACTGAGTTCCACAAGTTCCTCGGGCACTTCCGGTTCAACAGGGTCTAGACAGTCTTCTAGTCAAATGGCGGGCTCGCAGTTCAGCCCGTTGACCCCGCGTGAGAGGGAGCTCAGAGAGATCCAACAGGTCGAGAGGCTCCGCCAGCAGTTAGAGGAGGATCTGAAGAAAGCAACCGATAGAGAAAGAGAGATAAAAAGCAGAGCGGCCAGACTTGATACGTTAGAGGCTGACAAGGCTGCGTTAGAGGGATTGGACGAAACAGGTTTGTCTGACACCCTGAAAGTGTTGAAGAGCAACATGTTGTCACTGCATGCGCACGTAGACAGCAGGATGGACTTCATGCAGAGCACTTTGGACCAGATCCTGGATGCATTGACAAAGCCGGGATTCCGGCCACCAGCACAATCGCCGTTGCCGTTAACGGCGATGTCAGGCCCCTTTCCCGTACAAGTTGGCACACAAACAAGTGGTACGTCTCACAGACTGTGGCGTCTTCTTCTTCGGGTCCAGCGGTGATTGCTACATCACTGCAACAACCTGTTCCTCCACAGGGACAGCAGCAAGGTCAATGGTATCCTAAGACCCCTATGAAACCGCCTCTTGCCTTCTCAGGTGAGAGAAAGGACGAGGAACTCAACACATGGTTGAGGACCGTCCCGGTTTGGGTGAAGGCCAAGAGGACCTTGCCAGAGGATGAAGTGGTAACTGCGACATCTTACCTAGAGGGTAAGGCAGCCAAATGGCTAGATGGGGTAGTTGTGAAAGCCGGGTACGGGCGACGCATGGCGGATTGGGCAAAGTCTTTGACTCTAGACCAGTTCATGGAAATGGTAGAAGCTCGATGGCATAACCCACAGGAGGCGTAAAGGGCCACTGATGCCATAAATAAACTAGACCAACGCAAGTTCCGGTCAGTTAGAGAGCTTACGACTACCGTTGAGAGCCTGATCCTCGTTCCGGGCATCAACTACAGCGACCAGTTCCTGTTCACAACGTTTGTTAGATGTCTTCCAGAGAACATCAGGAACTTGCTGGCCAGTGAGGCACGCACCGAGTACCACTCGTTTGAGACATTGTCTAGGAAGGCTTTAGATCTAGAGGCCACGCTAGGCGATGCTCAACCCACCTCAGGGAATGACTCAAAGAAGAAGAAGAGTCCTCAGGAGTGGAAGAAGAAGGGAGCAAAGTTGATGATGGTTGAGTCTGATGGGACTCAAACTGAGATTGACGAACTCTCTGACCTGATGGACTATACAGAGAATGACGGCAAGGAGGTAGCTGCGGGTAGCACCCTCGCCGCAGTAGTTAAGACTAACGCGGCTGGCCGAGGAAAGGGCCAACCTAGGGGTCAAGGGAAGGCCGCCTCCAATCAGACCAAACAGGCTGAATGGATTAAGGCAGGTCTTGATCAAGACGTGTGGCGTGACCGCCGAACGCGTGGTGCTTGTATCAACTGCGGGCAATACGGACACACGCAGTACAAGTGCCAGAACGCTAAGGTTACGCAAAAGGTTGCTCCAAAGATGGGGGCAACTTATTCCCAGGCTTCTAGCTCGGGAAACACGTGAGGCCAGTGGAAGTAATAGCTGCTTCTACTCAAGATGAAGTGGGATTGATACCCTCCTCACTTCATGACAACGCCAAGGCTAATGACCCCTTAGTCACCTCGCAGACACAACTAGACCAAACTATGCTCTGTACGTTAGATGTGTCTGAAGCCTTAGAGGACTTGGAGAGTGAGTGGTCAAACAAGGACCCTCGCGAGTCTTGGGTGACGCTGAGGAAAGGTCCTAGAGGGGAACATTTCGTGGTGGAAGTCGATGTAGGAGGCCGCAAATGTGGTGCCTTCATAGACATAGGCTCCACGCGGAATTATATAAGTCGCGACTGGTTGGAAAGGCTGCACCTACAGGACCGGGTACGACACCTTAGTAGACCAGTAGCATCTACTTTGGCCAACAAGGAGCGCATGATTGTCACAGACTACATCAAGGACGTAGTCTGTACCTTCTCCTATGGAGGAGGTGAGCTTAACCATAAGATCTCGTTCTTGGTTAGTGACGACTTGCCATTTGACATGTTGCTAGGCATGTACTACCTCGAAATTGCTAAGCCCCAGTTTGACTGGGGTAAGAAGGTGCTCAAGCATAAGTTGCCCGATGGCCGAACAGTCAGGTTGACTAAGTTCAAGGCCAGTAGCATTATAGATACCTATGGCTGCTTGTGCGCATCTGCGTTCTACAATTACTATAAGCAAAACCAAGAGGAAGGTATGTACCTTGTTTATGTATCTGAGAAGGGGGAGGCCGTTAAAACACCCCCAGAGATAGAACGCGTCGTTGCTAAGTTCCCTGATTTGTTCGAGGAGCCCTCAGGAGTTGTTGATAGGGAAGTCGTCCACGCTATAGAAATCATTCCAGGGAGTAAGACCCCAAAGGGAAGGATCTATAGGATGGCCCCTGCCGAGTTAGATGAACTTCGGAAGCAACTAAAGGAGCTGACAGAGAAGGGTTGGATTCGGCCTAKTACTTGCCCTTACGGATCACCCGTTCTATTCGTACCGAAGAAGGGGGGTACTTTGAGGATGTGCATTGACTATAGAGGCCTCAATGCCATCACAGTGAAAAATGCAGAGCCTCTACCTCGCATAGACGACCTATTGGATAGGGTGCAGGGATGCAAGTACTATACTAAGATAGACTTGAAATCCGGATATCATCAGATCGCAATAAGGCCAGAGGACCAACACAAGACAACTTTTCAGACTAGATTTGGTCTCTATGAGTTTGTTGTGATGCCTTTCGGTCTTTGTAATGCGCCGGGACGTTCCAGCACGCTATGAATTAGATCTTCCATGACCATTTGGATAAGTTTGTCGTGGTCTACTTAGACGACATTCTGATCTTTAGTAAGTCTGCCGAGGAGCACGCAAAGCACGTTGAGACAGTTCTCTCACTCCTGTGACAACACAAGTATAAGGTCAACTTAGAGAAGTGCGAATTTGGCCGCACTAAGATATTATACTTGGGTCATGAAGTATCCGCGGAGGGGATTAGGCCGAAAGATGCGAAAGTGGCTAGTATTCGAGACTGGCCACGACCTTAGACAGTCACTGAGGTCAGGTCATTCTTAGGAATGTGCGGCTACTATAGAAATTTCGTTAAGAACTATTCTACAGTCGCCTCTCCTTTGACTGATCTAACTCGACTTGACACACCGTGGGACTGGAGTGATGAGTGCGAGGGTGCTTTCAAGAGATTGAAGCATGCACTCATGAATCATGAAGTTCTCATGGTTCCCGATCTGCAGAAGCCATTCATAGTGACCACCTACGAAAGGGAACTCTATGCTCTCTACAAGGCACTTGTCCATTGGAGACACTTCCTTTTGGGAAGGTTCTTCTAGCTGAGGACGGATCATCAGACCCTCAAATGGATCAAGACTCAACCGACTCTTTCTGATGCACTCAAGCGATGGATTGAGGTCATAGGCCAATATGACTTCAAGCTCGAGTACCTGAAGGGAGAGTACAACAAGGTTGCAGACGCGCTATCCCGTAGAGCAGACTACCTAGGTGCGCTAGTTTCTGAATTTGGCATATCTAATGAAGTAACTCAATCATTGGTGGAAACCTATCAGGAAGACCCTGTCACGATGGACATCATCCGCAAACTTCAGGCAAAAGACAAGGCCACAGAAAATGAGTTTGTGATGGTGGATGGGCTAATCTATCTTGATAAGGCCGGAGTAAAGAGATTGGTAGTTCCATCTAGTGAACAGTTGCGTAGTTTATTTTTAGGTGAATGTCATGACGCAACTAGGCATTTTGGCTACAAGAAGACGAGTGCTAACTTAGTACAGCGATTTTGGTGGCCCAGAATGTTAGATGACGTAAAGAAGTATGTTGACACCTGTCAGGTTTGTCAGCGGGACAAGCCGCGAACTCAAGCACCGCTTGGGTTATTGAAGCCTTTACCTATTCCTGATGGTCCAGGATTGAGTGTTTCCATGGATTTCATGGACACTCTGTTGACCAGCAAGAGTGGTAAGAGGCACATTTTCGTCATCATTGAACGATTCACCAAGTACGCTAGACTAATACCAATGCCAGAGACAGCCGGGACAGAATACGTCATCAAGTTGTTCAAGGACAACTGGGTAAGGGACTTTGGTTTACCAAAGACCATCATTAGTGACCGAGACGTCCGATTCACAAGTGAGCTGTGGAAGAAAACTGCGGAACAGATGGGCGGTCAACATCAAATGACTTAAGGGAATCATCCCGAAGCCAACGGACAGGCCGAACAAATGAATAGAGTTGTACAACACTTGCTGAGGCATTACATCAAGCCCAACCAGGATGACTTGGATGAGCAGTTACCTCTCATCGCCAACCTGTACAACAATGCTATACATAGCCGTACCGACGTTAGTCCTAACCAGCTGCACTTAGGATGGAAGCCTAGAACAACTGCAACTCCAAGCACACTTGAATACGGTGTGCAATATGAGAAATTGTTGCAAGATGCTGTTGAACATATGAAGAAGGCTCAGCAAGCCATGATCGCTTCTAAGAATCAACATCCCAGACAGTCCACATTTCAGGTAGGGGAATGTGTCTGGGTCAAGGCTAGTGAGTTAGGACAGGAATTTGGAATATCTCGCAAACTAATGCCCCAGTACTTTGGTCCCTTGGAAGTCTTGGATGTAGTGGGAGATGAAATGGATGGTCCTACGTACGTCATTCGTGTCCCTGGACACCTACGCACTCACCAAGTCTTTCATGCCTCAAAGCTTGCACCTTTCGCTGAGACTGATCAATTCCCTTCCAGGAGATCGATGCTGCCCCCAACCATGGATGGACAAGTCGACATCGACGATATTGTGGATCACAGGGATATGCCTGTTACGAAGCCGCTGGGTCGAGGAAGACCTCCTAAGCCCAAGAGGGAGTACCGGATCAGATTCAAGCATCATACGGATCCGAAAGAAGACCGGTGGTTTACCCGGGAGGAACTGATGGAAATAGCTCCTCACGTGGTGGCAGATTATGAACGGAAGCTAAAAGGGAAGGCACCTGCGAAGTAAGCATCTCAGCGGACTTTCGAAGCTAAGGGGGATGGAATGTGAGGACTGAGCCCTCAAGTAGGGGCCTTGCCATAATGTACATGTTCTGGGCTACGGCCCCAGCAAGCCTCTTGCCCGCCCTAAGTGAAGGCGGGCCAGCAAATCAACAAGAGCCCTCTGTGCCAACATTTCACGAAGTGGGGTTCATACAGTTGCAGCACGCCAGTTGGTTGGAGTGCACCGAGTCTCGGATTTCAGCAAATGCTGAAAGCCCAGGGCCTCTGAGTTAGTTAGGCCCTGGGCATTCGAACGTGAGGCCAACAATGCATGCTAGGTAGAGAGGCCGAAAATGCCAAAGGGAAATCGGCCCACTATCTGAATCTGGGCACAGGCCTTGATGAAAGAGGCGCAACTGCATTGCCCCGGGGCCCAACTGTATCGAGTTGGCTTCAGCCTCTGGGTCCCGGTCGCAGGCTGAAGGGAGGCCGCCCACACGCCGCATTGGCATATAGGCAAGTAGGGCGAGGGAGCAGGGAGCTTGGCCAATGCAGGCATTGCGGGCACGCTGCGCGAGTGCATGTGTGCTGCGCTGTGCAGAGCTGCACTACGCTAGGGTCAAGCAGGCAAGCGCTAGGCGGTAGGGCGCTGCCTGCACTCAAGGCATTGGCGGCCATAGTCTGGGCCGCATGAGGGTGCAGAAGAGGTGAAGGGCGAAGGTGGTCTTCGAAGGTGAAGGGCGCTGTGTGGGTAACAAGGGAGAGTGTGGGGAAGAGGACACGTACCTGGTGGAGGTGGAGGTCGGCATTGGTGTTGACATCATCACTCGCTGGTAGTCAAGTTGTCTGGTTGCTTTTCATTGCTGTAGGTGTAGGATAGGCTGTAGAGTAGATAGGGCGCCTGGCGCCATTCACAAGAGAGAGCTACATTTGGGTTATGCTGTTGGTGTTGCCCTGTTGGGCATGGACATTGACTCACGATTCTTCTATATCATTCTCAATTGGATGGTTACTCGGTTCCATGTGCTATCTGCTTTGGCTTTGACTACTTGAACTTCAGTGTGATTTTGCATTCTGGATATCTGTGCTTCGTCCATATTCATGTTCCTTGCACATTGATCATTTCACACTTCAAGGGAGGTTGGGAGACCTACTGAACTTGCAAAAGTCGGGATTTTTATTTTCTCGAATTTTTTTTTGGAAAGTTCAAACTTTTCTTTTTTGATAAGTGGCTCCTTATTCAGGCCACGTCAGCAGCAGGGAATACCACGTCAGCAGGCCCCCGGCCTGGTCTATGCTGTTGCGTTCACAAATAGTCGTCATGGACCAAAGGTCCGAAGAAGCAGACGAGGCCTTTCACGCCCGGATGCTGGCCTGGAGTACCGAAACAAAGAAACGGGCAGATGGCGCAGCAGCAGCAACAACGAAGAAGAAGGCAGAGGACACCGAGCAGGCACGTCTGCTGGCACTTGAACAACAGCACCAGCATGACGAGGCAGCAGCAAGGGCTGTCGATGAAGAAAGAACTCAACGTCGTGAGAAGATATTTAGCGGAGAGCAGACTTTGCTCACAATGGCAGCAATGGCGGACCGAGGCCGAGAATGGCAAGTTGGAGGATAGCGAAAACAAGATCGCTCTCCTCCTCTCCCATCTCACGGACCTCCTGGTGACATGTATTACACAGCAGGAGGATGTCCACAGCCTCGACGACTCGCTGGCTCAAGTCCAAGACTG